TTCACAAATTTGCTTTTCAGTGCCACAGGACTGTCAGTGAAAAGCAAATTTGACTTCACAGAAGTGTCAGGATATTTATCATAGCAAAAAAAAATAATACTCTTTTCAGCAGAGTATAAATAACTGATATCTAGACTCAAAACTACTGCTGAAAAATTACACAGATTCTCTTTGGATATTGTTTCTGAAAGGCCACTTACTGAACAGGAGGTTTGAAGAACAGAGAAAAAAGAAGTCAGGTTTATCTTATATATCCAGATCATGTGCTTGTTTCCAAATATCCGTACTTTCAGATTTCTGTCTTGGACAGCTACTACATGCAAGAGCCAAGCAGACAGACTTTCTTTTCTGGAATTTTTAAATACTGAGAAGTTCTGAGTTCATTAAAAAATGTATGTACATTCACACACGAGTTCTTCTGAAATAAACTGTTGAATTTGAAGTAATGTTAAGAATAAAAGTCCATTTTATGGACTGAGGAACAGTGTAGGGCCATAAAGGTGTGAATGAAAACACACACACACAAATTAGTTCATTGTAGTCTTGTGTTCAGTCTGAGCTGGACAACAGGAAAAAAGAGTGTCACCAAAACTTTCTGCTGCTATTAGATGTCATCACGGAAGAGATCTGGTCTGCTTCTTTTACTGCAGAATTTACAAGGCAGATGTAGCATCTAGAAGAGTGGTTTCAAATTGTGACTAAAGAGGTTAATATATTTCTACAAAGCCTCAGGGACTGACATTTTGGAATCCAAGCTGATGCAGGTAAAGCAAGTGGCCTAGGAGGGCAAGCTGCTTCCTCTGTGGCAGAGAGATAGGGATGGGCAGTAAAATTTTTTAATGGTCAGTTTTCAGGCAGATCAAGGTGTTGACTTGATTTATGATATCACCACATGTCAGTGCCAACAGATGGGAAGGCACAAGAACAAGGAGCCAGGGATTGAGTCAGAAAGGAAGCAGGAGGCAACACACGATCCTTCAGGCAAGGTTAAGCCATAGGGGAAAGCAGATCTTCAACCCAAGGGGCTTAACACCCCGCTGCTGTTTGAAAGTCTTACCTGGTTTCTAAAGCTTCCAGATCTTCACCAAGGATGTATGGATTTTTGGTCAGGAATGGCCCCAGCTGATTGTCTTCTACACCCACATCCTTAAGAAACAGAAGTATTTTTCTTATATCTTTTTCAAAGTCCAAGGTCAGTAAGAGCTGACCTGCCTTTTGACGTTTTTCCACTTGGGATAGGTCAACTCCTACAACAAACAAAATTAAAAATTGTTTTAAATAAACTCAGATGTTACTTCCTGTAAATGTTTCACAAAGGCACGTTGGAATTTACAGGACTACTCCTTTTTTTGCACTGATTTGGCATACTTTAATTGTTCGACACAGCAAGGTCATAACACCTTGTATATTGTGGAAAGATTCCAGATAAAACAAGCAGTCATTTTAGACACTTTTGCTGAGTTTATTTTTTGAAGGAAGACATTTGCAGTGAATCCTGCATGTGCCATATGCAAGAAATTCCCAACTCCATTATACAAGGGAAGAGAACAATTGTGCAGTGAAGTGCCTTTATATACTGACTCACACATAGTAATTTGTTACTACATGGGGCCAGATTCCCCCCTCTCAAATACTTATTTCTCCAACCTTCTTCTAGTGTTCCTTGGATGTTTGGGCAACAAGGAGGTGGCCAGCAACCCTGAACTCAGATATACCTGCAGTCCAACTGCTTTTTGATGAGAAGTAAGGTTCTTTTCCATCCTTCACTCTTGCCTCTAGTTTACTGTGCCCCACTTCTAAGGTTCTGCACAGCAACCACTCTCCTTCTTTCCAAGGATGGAGAACTGCATTTTCTTTTGCAGCAAATTAAAACAACCTTAGCCAGCCCAAAAGAAGAGAGACCACTTAAGTTACATAGAGTGTTCCCCATCTCCAGAAGCTGTGAGAGATGCCTCCTCCTGGCACCCAAAGCGCTAAGGGACTAAAACTAGCCAGCTTTGTTTTCAAGAAATATGGCATTGCTATTGAGTGACACAGTCCCCTTCTTTTTCCATTTACTCTGGATAATATTCTGCTGCTTTTTGCCATTAGTCACCATTCTCTCTTTCAAGTTTACAAGGGAACCAGTAAAACAGAAGAATCTCCAAAGCTCCAGACACAGGCAAACTACACAAATAAAATCACACATACCTAGGTGGACAAGCTTTGCAAGGGTTTCTGAATGATCAACATAATCTCGGAGCGTGGTAGACTGAAGGGGAAGAATCGGTTCTGCGATGATCTGTACAGCTGCTTCCTCAGAAATCTCTTCCAAGGCAGATGAAGGTGGGATGTCATCCCAATCTAAGAAACAAATGTGGATGACCCAAATGCATTTTGTGAAAGACAAAGCTGCTCCCACCAAATGCTATACAGATCTCCTAAAATCCAGTTCAAAATGCAGGAACATTGTGCACGAGATGAACATTCAACCTATTATTTGAAAACATAGACTGTACTCCCAGTTTTTGCCTCTGTTCCATCTCCTTGTCACTGCTCATCAGCTCTTGCTCATGTGTCCAAATCAGTGTAGTACCCAGCCAGCCTGCCTTCAGTCTGCAGATCACATCACCTTCTTGAAAAAGAATCTGCTTTCATGTCTTCACAAATGCATTCTTGCCTGATCATATCCAGAAAAAAGGCTACCGCAAAGATTATTTTTCATAACCTGACAAGCCCACTATTTTATGCCTCTTTTGAATCTGATGCCTGAAATATACTGAAAGTTAAAACAACTGCATTTCACAGCCAACTCCAACCAAGCTATCATGTCTTATCCATTACAGAATGGCTGCTGACTGCCACCACCATTAACAGCAAAAGAAATCAAGCTCCATTTCCTACTCACTAAGGTTTCAAAGAGAACATTATTATGCTTGTTTCCCCTTAAGTGTTTGATGTCACAGAGCTTAGTGTCCTTTAAAAAATACTTCTATAAATGGATCTGTTCTTCCACTGACAGGAGCTCACAGCAGCTAGATTTACTGTTTCCAGGCTGGCTGCTAGCATCTTCCTAAATTATCAGATTGATTATTGATCAACAGCCCTGATTATAAACTCTTCAGGAAGGGGGTTTTCTGTCCCCTGTACCTTTGCACAATGCCATCCTAGAGACTAGGGTAACACTCTTCCATGTCGAGAAAACAAAGACACACCAGAACTACCAAGACAGATTCCACAGTAAGTAGCATGATCCTAATGTTTCAGGAAGAGCTGCACATTGTATTTATCTTTTTTCATCTCCTTTCCTCAGGAGACAGTTGGATGAGCATTTCTCGTCAGAGCAGTGCTTAAAGCAGGCTTCACACTGCTGCCTCCTGTTGTTCGTTCCTGATCATTCAAACGGCTGTATTGCGTGAGCTGCTTCAGGCGTGGACTCCCCCAGCCTTGTTCAAAAAAACCCCAAACAAAACACCCAAACCAATCCCCTTAGTTTGTATCAGCAGGTATGTGAGGGAAAGGCAAACGCTCAACTGCTGCAGGTAGATTTATCAAAAGAAAAATCCTTCAAATGGCAGCTCCAGACCTACATTTCTACCCAAAACATTTTATCTTCATCTCACCTTAAAGGTATGCTTTGGATGCCACGGTGACCACAAGAATATCTGCATTAACTACGGGGCTAAAACCAAGTGAAAGTCAGGAACTCCAGATAAGTGTTTTAGATAAACGGGCCAAGAAAAAAGAACCCAGCTGGGGTTAAACCACAACATACTGAAAGCATGATTTGAAGATTCGGGAAAAATGGTATCCCTTAAAACCTCTTACCTTCATTCAGTATTTTTGCATTCAGATCAGGTAATGCTTCTACTTTTGCTTGTTCCTGTTTTACTGGTGAAGGCAAATTACTTTCCAGAGGAGAGAAGGATCCATCCTTGGCACTGTCGGGCGCGAAACAGCTTCCTACAGACGCATGCCTGCATGCCTGTAGTCTCCACAGAACACGGTCCTTTCCGGCGGGCAGCAGAGCCAGAGGGGCGAACTCACGGCAGGTCCGTGCGGGGCTCCCGCAGCTCCTCAGCCTCCGAGGAAACCCGGCAGCGCGGGCCGTGTTCAGCAGGCAACACCAGCGGGAGGCCTGCCGGGCCCACAGAGCCATCTCCACCTCAACACAGCATCCTGCCGGGAGAAAAAGGGCTGAGGGGCGGGAAAGGCGCTGCCTGCCTGGCCGCAGAGCCGGGAGCGCGAATACCCTGGGCGCTACAGCAATGGCTCACTACAAAGCACCAAGGAGAGGCTTTAAGGCTTTAAACGCGTGGCAAACGGAGGAGGCAAAACTGGGGAGAGAAGCCGGGTCTGAGGGCCACTGCCCGCCGTCCTGTACGACAGCTGTCCCTTTGGGAGCACGGGGGAAGCCCAGCCAGGACCTCAACCCTCTCCGCGGGACAGGGCCCTCTGCGCAGGGCCGTCACCGCACAGCGCCACAGGGGGGGGAGGCTGGGCCCGGGCGCGCCGCGCTCGCCGTCCCTCGCAGGCCTCCCCATGCCGGCAGCCTCTGCGTGTGCAGGAGAATGTGGAGACCATCGAGAGATCACGGAAACGCCCCCGAGACCCGCCATCACCTCACCTGCCCCGCTCGGCGCGGCCTGACCACGTGTGTGCCCCGCCCCCAGCCCAACCCAGGCGAGACCATCCGCGAGGAAAGGGGGGGAGGGGGAACATACAGGCACCAGAGAGCTTCCCACCGCTTGCTCCAAGGGGGCGGTGTGGCTCCACCTCTCCCCCTCTGGCGCTGCCTTCGTCCTTCCCTCGCGCGTGGGCGCGGCCCGGCGAGTTCCTCCCCTGCCTTGCCCTGCCCTGCCTCGCCTCGCGCTCCCCTCAGCGCGGCGGGAGCGGCGCTCGCCCCGTTCGGCCCCCTCGCTCCCGCAGGGGGACGCGGCGCGTCGGGCAGCGGTCGCGGCGCGCCGCCGCTGCCCCTGCCCCGCCCCGGTGAGAACCGCAGCTTGCCGCTGAGACGAGGGGAGAAGAGGGGGCCGAGATTGTGCGTCGGCTGCGGGAGCCGGACCCTGAGCAAGAACGACGTGAACTACCGCCTGCACTTCCGCATGATCAACGAGCAGCAGGTGGAGGACATCACGCTTGAGTTCTTCTACCGGCCGCACACCATCACCCTCCTCAGCTTCACCACCCTCAGCCTCATGGCCTTCGCCTTCACCAGGTGCGCGGCCGCCACGACGATCCCCCTCCCCGCCCCCGGTGCGGGCGGAACGGCGCCCAGCGAAGGCGGAATTCCCGGGTCCAGGGATCCGTGCCCGGCCCCAGGGCGGGCACGGGCAGCGCGGTCCCTGCCGGGGCCGGGCTGTCGGCAGGGCCAGAGCCGGGCCGTTCCCGCCGGGCGGTCCTGGGCCGGGTGTCCGGAGCCCCGTGCGCGGGAGGCCCATGTTTGGAGAGCGGGCATCCTCTCCTCCTTCCCAGAGCTGCTGTCCTCCCCACTGCAGTTCCTGGGAACTTGGTGATAGTTTCGAGGCTCTCTGTTGAAGTCTTTATTAAAATGCATTTCAAGTAGTTGCCAAAAATGGCTTTTACTGGGCTATCAAGCGGCCCAGCAGTGACATCACTCAAGCAGATGATCTACAAGCGTGCAGTAGACAGGAGTGTTGTGTAGCATCATTTCTACACAGCACTGTCTGTGGCCAGTCACAGGTCGGCTTAGACCCTGGCAGCGATAGGATTAGCCACATCCTTTGCACACTACAGGGAGAGCTCTGTGGGCATCGCCCCTGCAGTCATTTATGGCAATACTGCTAGGAATGGACACAGTCTTTTTCAGGAGCCTTGTTTGAAAGCAAAGGGTATAGCAGAGCAGTCTGATGAGTATCTTGCATGTTTTTCTAAGTTGTACATACTTGTTATTGCCTCCTACTGAATGGGGTTGTGAAGAGGATTGCGAATTCGTCCTTTAGAGTAAATTGTGCAGTCTGTAGGGAAACAGTGATCCCTGGGAGGTTTTGACTGAGTAGTGCATCATGTTTGGGGCTCATTTAAACTTTCGTGGCGTTGTGTGCACACAATTGCGGATTTCAATGGCCTTGTTGCTTAAACTTACCACTAGGTGTAAGAAAATCAGGATTTATCCCTAGGCCTCATGTACAGTTCAGTGTATAATCTTGTATTTCATTCTAAGAATCCAAATGTATAGTTTTTATTAGCTGTGGAAATAATGGCGAAGCCTGGCTTGAGCTGAGACAGAAGCATAAGGAAATGTAAAATAGTGTAACTGCAAATGGTCTGAGGAGTGCCTTTTCTTGTTTCATCTTATGCATAGCCCCAAGGAAGATATTTTTGAACACATTCCTTGTTCTACTTGGATCCCTTCTTAACTTCTAAATCAGAGACATGTTTCTGTGCTTTGCTACCATGTTTAATTACAGACCTTGCTACAAGTGCTCCTCTTGTCCTGTCTCCCCTCACCCAGATCACTTTTCCTTCCAAAGGGCCAATTTAGGTCAAACTTGTGAGTTAATAAGATATTCTCATCAAGACATAATTCTGAAGGATTAATGGAACTGATGGCTCACCTTTGGGGAAGGAATTTTGCCAATTCTTTCAAGCAGAGGACGAGCCAAGAGCGATTTCAGAACTATGGTGTTTTCTAGTCCCAAATAATACTGCTTTGCTTCTGGGATGTTGCATTTTTTCAAGAGTACTGCTAGCATTTTTTCAAGAGTACTGCTAGCTCTTCATTCCATTTGTTTTGTTAGCTTTCTAACTCCAACTTCTTCGGTTTCATTTGCTTCCCTCTGTTTCTCTCTGCCTCACTTCCTGTGTTTAAATGCCAGTTGATTTCTCTTTATGTCTTCTCTGTTTCTCCTCTTCTCAGGTTGTGGAAGCTACTCAGATTTTGTTTTCTCCCTTATCCCCCTTTTGCTGATTCCAACTATTGTAGAAGTTTCCTAAATCAGAGTGCTGCCTCCATGCCTTATTTGGGACAGTACCCAAATTGTATGCAGTCTTTGAGAAACAGGGGGAGGGGAGATATTGCCTTACGTGCCTACAGTGTGTGCTCCTAGGTCTGGTCGTTCTACTTCCATCAGCTTATTGCCTTGAGTCTCCACTGACTGTGCTCATTTTTCCACCTCCTGAATGGAAGGCACTGTAGACTTCCCACTAAGGTGTCACAAGTGATTGATTCTTTGCTTCTCCTGTGCTGTCAGTTGTTCCGTAGCTCTCCTGGTCAATTTATTAAGCAGGGGATTTTCTATGATAAATTCATACTGATGTTGTTAAGTAAAATTTGTTTTTTTCAGGAACTTCATCAGAGGAAATTTGCTTCCCTTAAAGTCTTTCTTGTCACTTCTGTACTTCTTTTGTGCCAGAGAAACTTGAAAAATGCTTTTCCCTTGTATATACTAAGCCATAATGTGGAGTTTCCCTTAGGATCACTGAGAGCAGCTGATACTATCTTTGAGGTGACAGATAAGGGTGAAGCTGAACTTCAGATAGCAATAATTTTCAGGTAGCAATAATGATAATAATAATTTAGAAAAAGAAATGTGTGTTTCATTTCACTTGAACAAAGTGGGGAATAGAGGGTGTCCTGTTCTTTAAAGCACATCCTTCTAGTGGTTCTGACAATGGCTGCAGCTGCCTTGGTTATTTCCTGCTGAATGAGCCAGACACAGGCTCCCCTGCTTCTGCTCTGCACCTTGGAGCAGAGGCATGGAGTGGCTGTAGCCTTCCCTGTCCTCCTCTACCCTAGAGAGAGTGATGTGGCCTTCTCTGAGCCCAGAGGCAACCAGCAGGAGGGCAGGTGAGTGCTGGAGGGGATATTTTGTGGGATACAACAATAGGACTGAGAAAGGTGACAGATTAGTAGCTGCTCCCATGAAGTTTCAAGGGTTTGTGGAAGCAGGAGTAAGACCTATGAGGATGTAGGGCTGTTGTCTTTCATGTACCTTATTTAATGGAATTGATTAAACTGGATTATTGTACATTTAGATTTGCTTGAGTTTATGGAAGATTTCTCCCCCACCTCCGCCCCCATTCCAAATTTAGTGTCCTAGCTGTTTTTAACTCAGTTGAATATCCTTTTTTTTTTCTTTTTCTTTATGATGTAATAACTTATTAGTTGACGTTTTTGTAATGTGCAAGTGTAATGTAGTGCTCTCAAGAAGAGCAGGAGAGAGAGATTATGTGCTTTATTTTTTATTACTTCTTCCCTAAAAAGTCACAGAATTGAAATATGCCATGGTAAAGTGGGTTAAAATTGAGAGAATTCTCATCTGTCCTCCCACACAAGCATTAGAAACCTTGTTTTTACTGCATGAATGCTTATATTTCAAAATCAGCTCCAACATTTATGGGGCTAAATGAGGAGATGATTTAGCACATTTTCCCGATTGCAGCTCGTCGTAATTGTGTCTTTCCTTTTGGCATTCCTCAAAATAGTTTTTTCAGGCAAACACTATACTAACTAGTGCACAGCAGTGAGTTTCTTGCTCTCACCTGTTCTTACCTGCTTCTGGCAAGGAGATTGGATGTCTGTCCCTTTTGAAATGTATCTGCAAGCCAAAATGAAATGCCTTTGCCACCCACTTGGAATGAAACACAGTTTAACACTGCATACAACATCTTTGCTGATTTTGGGGGTAGTGCCAATATGACTTGGACAGCTTTCCTGAAGCTGAGTAGTACTCAGAATCCTGATACGCAAAGGTGAGTCATCTCAGTTGTGCAACAGTTAAGTGATGCGATCACAGTGCCACTTCTTTCTTGGCCATGATGAATTGATGTTATGTGACTCTCATTATTTGTTCTCTCTTAAAAAATAAATATTCATCCTCTTGGTGGCAGCCATGACAGCACATTTGTGTGTGTTATTTGCCTGTGTTAAAAGAGGAGTATGGTTTTGCTGTCTGAGCCATCAGAGCCTGAGGCGCTGGCTAGGAAGTGCAGTGGATGGCATGAGGCTCTTGGGATTGCCAGGGGAGCCACAGTTAAGTTCTGGAACCTGGGGTTTATAGCTGGTGTAAAGTGTCATCCTATGCAGCATGGCTGCTCGAAAATGACTGGTAAATCTGGACTCAGCTGATTTAAAAAAAAAAATGCTGTGGGGAGTCCCAAAGGCCTGCAGAGAAACCATTCATGTTTAATGTATTTTACCTGCCTGACACAGTGCTTAAATGCCTCACAGTGATGAAAGCCTGCTCTGGAGCTCTTAAGGTTCAGTTTTGAACAAAAGAGAAATAATTTGGCTAAGTGAGAAATATTTTCTACCACAGCAAATATCTAATGTGGAGAGCATTTATGCTGTCATGGGTTCTTTACTGAACCATCCAGAAATTTTACAGATAATCTGCCAGGAAGAGCTTTGTCCCTCTGAAGTTTGCTGGGAATTTTTTATTAGCATGTTGGGAATAAGTAAAGGAATATAGTTAAATAGATAAACGAATCCTAAATACATGAAAATTACCCAGATAGTAAAACTTTAACTTCAGCTGTACTGGATGATACATTATGAAATGGTAGTTGTTCATACTATGATAGTCTGAAGTTTGTTTCTATTTGTATTACTGAAGTATCCCAGAAGCTTTCTGCTGGTTAGAAGACTTGGGTGAGGGTTAATCTTGCTGCTATATACCATATTCTACCTGCCTAAAAAAGAAGAGCTTAGTCAAGTTTGCCTTGGCATTCCAAACTGAATTCTTAAGTTTATCCTCTGGCCGTAATATGACAGTAGCAGAGATAATACCAGCTATTTTGTTCAGAGCTTTGGCTTAACAGATCTGGAAGCAAATTAATATTTTTCCTTGGCTCTATTAAGTTCTGCTATGTCTCTGTTACAGATTCTAAGCTGTATATTCATTATTTCCAAAGGCTGATTATAGTAATTATTTTTGCCCTCTCTGCACTCACCTCAAGCATTTGGCATTGGGAATAGCAAAGGGAAATGAATTGCGAGTACCACCAAAACAGCAGAGAGAAACCTAGGAATTGCATCCAGGCTTCCAGAGATTTTAGTTTAGGTCTGTTTGCTGTGTAAAAGTACTTTTGATGATGTTTCTGTGAACATTAAAGCAGAAAGATTTTCTCACCTTATGTTAAATTTAGTCATTGCTTCTACATAAACTTCTAACAATGCTTATGGCTTGCATGTGTTGATTAAATATTTAACTCTCTTGTAAGAAAGGAACACCCAGAAGTGTAGTGTGAAAATCATTCAGTGGAGTTACGATCTTAACTGTTATATAATCAGCATGCATATTTTTTATATTTAATTTCCATGTAGTCTTTATTTGAATAATATATCTTCAGAGCCTTCTGGCTTCATCCTCATAATGTACTTGACCACTGTTGTCTGTCTCTTTAGGGATGATTCTGTACCAGAGGATAATATTTGGAGGGGTATCCTCTCTGTGATTTTCTTCTTTCTAATCATCAGTGTTCTAGCTTTTCCTAATGGTGAGTAAGGTTTACACAGTTTGTACTTCACTTTTTTTTTACATGTGAATTTCTCTTTATTGCCACTGTATTTTTGATTTTTATTTAAATACCAATTTTCAGTGTACTTTTTCTTTACTCTTTTGAATTCCTTTATGTTAAGTCTAAAAATGTTTTGCAGTCATACTGAGCAGAGATAACAGTAAAATGTGTTATTTATAGCTTGCCTGTGTTTAACAGGGAAGTCAGGTTCTCAGAACTGGTGTCCTATTTGCAGATGTGCAGTTGCAGCTCAGATTGCTAAGTAATGATGCTAACAGACCCTTAAATAATGTCTAAAAGGACTCTGCCTCAGTGTGTTTTAACAGAAGTGTCATTCTGAAAATTCTGAGACAACACCTTACATACAGCACCTTACCAGAAGGCAGTGAAAGAAATGGTCTAAGTCATATTAAAATGCAAACCCACAGTTGCTCAGTAGAAGGTTAAGTTGGACAAAAGTTTTGGTAGTTGTGTGAGGAGCAGAAAGTGCAAAAAGGTAAACAAGTTTGTGTGTCAATTCTGTGGAAGAAATGCTTCTACCTGGTTTGCATGGTTTTGGTTTTGGTTTTTTTAATTATTATTTTTCATTATTGCTGTCAGCAGAATCATAATTCTTGTGTCAAGTCTAAACTATCTCACGATTGGCAGCGTTCAGGAAGAAACCAATTGTGGTCAGGGCAGCTTTGTACTTCAGAGGTGGCTGTGTTTTTTCCATATGTTAAAAATCCTTAATCCACACTTTTCACTAAGTATTCTCTGAAAAACTGAATGCCAGGGAAAAATGAACTTTGTGCATACAGTGGTAAGCAGTCCTCAGTGTGTGCTGAAAATATTTTTCAGCCACTTCTTACTACCTAAATGTACATTTCGTATTTAGAGTTTTTCCAGTTTCATCAGACTTACCTTCTCTGCTCTTCCTATTAACTGAGAGGTTTTTAATCTAATAAATCAGTTTGATCACTGGCTCTAAAGTAAAGAATATGGACACTGGTAAGGAGCACAGGTATTTTACTTATTGTCAGATATCTATGATACTCAGTTTGGAAGCTTCAGGAGGCCTCTTTGGTAACATTTCATGTTGGTCTGAAGGCTCCGCACCATGTATCTTTGGTAACACACAGAAATTGGTATTTTTTTACTTAATTGGGAGCAAGTTATGTGTGACCTGTAGTCTAGAAACCAGGTCAGGAGATCCCCAGGTGACACTTGAGATGTGGTGTCTGCTGAACAAACAACATTCTACTGTTTTGAAAACAACTCCATAAAAATAGTGGAAAATTTTGTCTACATGCTACTAATTGGCAGTCTCCTTTTTGCACTCCAAAATCTGCTATTACTTTTTTTTTTAACATAGCTGCCCCAACTTTCAGGTGTATTTCATAGTTTGATGGAAAACTGATCTGTGCTCATACCAAATCCTCAGATGAGATATACTAAAAAATAAATTTTGTGTTTCTTACTGACTGGCTTCTAATAAGCTTTTGGTTTTACTGTCCACAGGACCCTTTACACGTCCTCATCCTGCAATATGGAGGATGGTTTTTGGTAAGTTTAAGATATGTTTTTGACTTTTTCACTGCTTCTGCAGGATCTGCCATTTTCTGATAAAATGGAATTATCATGAAACATAATTGTGCATCAAGCCTCTATGAAGGTTCTCCTGCATCTGAGCAGTTCCTTAAAATCTATTCATAGTTGTGTTTGGGAATGTCATTGTAGTTACTGCGTGTCAGGATGGTGTAAACTGAATCATCAAAAAGAGATTATTCATTCTGATACTGTTTTAATCCTGTTGTGTTTGTGCTTCCTAATCTCCTTCCCCCCCACCTTTTCTACTGCCATCTCTTCCAACCCCAGAAAGGTTTGGCATTTTTATAGCTACTGCATATACTATCTGACTTCTAAATCCAGTCGAGTAGGGTGCTGCTTTTCATTATTGGCAAAATATGCTCTTACTTTATATGCTTATTAAATCGTGTCATTGTATAGCTTAACATACCTTTATTAATATTTGTAACATATATATTCATATTCTTAACTTATAATTTCATTAAAAGTACCTGTAAATATCAGTCGCGTTCGTAGTTTGGAAGATAGTTCTATTAACTACAGAACTAACAAAGTGAAATCCTGCTCCTTAAATACCTGAATTACACAGCAAAACTGTAAGGAGTTTCATTTTTAAATAATTCATGGTTCACAGAGCATATCCTAGACTGCATATTTGCAGAGAATTAGGCACATCTGATTTAAAAGCTGATCTGTTTATTTTTAAGGATACTGAATGTTTCTCTCTCCTTATATAGCTAAAAATAAGTAGCCTCTCAAAGTAGATGATTACTCATCTGTTGACATTGAGAGGGTATTGCTGACTAGACAGTACTCGTTAAAGAATCCTGCTTCTTGGAAGTTTGGGAAACTCAGGTCCTACTGCTCATTTGTGGTTTCAGCAAATGTAAAGTAAAAGGTCATTCTCAATGTTGATGCTGTCAGAGCTTGAGCCCTTGTACTTTTGGAAAAAGGCTGCACACAAAACCAAGAGCAACATTTTCCGTGTTCAATTCTGCTTCTTCTGGCATGGTTCATTTAGCCATGCTTCAGTTCTCAGACCTGTTCAGTAGGTAAAAGGAAGGAATAGCGTGTCCTCCACATTTCGAGATGCACCCTCACCTGTAGGCTGTGCTTCTTGCAGCAGTGTGACACTTGTTTATCTGATGTATTTTTAGGAGGGACTGCAGAGGACTGTTTGTGAGTACTTGAACAAAAGTTGCTTTCTAGCATAAAGTGGGGATTATTAACACATGAGTTCTGGTTATAGTTTAAAGTACCATTTTAGAATTGCTGTGGTTTATTTTGGATGGCAGATACTAAGTTTATTTGCATTAATCTTTCTGCCTTTCATGACAAAGCTGCAGGATACGAGTAAGTTCGAGACTGTGGAAATAGTGTTTATATGCCTCTTCCAAATGTGCTCTTGGATATTGGTGAACCTGTGAATATTGTAAAGATATGCTCCCAACAACAGCTTCATCTACCCACGGGTCTGTAACCAGGACTCAACTTGTAACAAGTTTTTCTTTAAAAAAAAAAAAATCCATATTCAGGCTTTGGGAGGAGAGAACTGGTACTCCCAAATGCAAGTGTTTAATAATTTATAATGGTGAGAAAATAAATAATCATATTTATCTTTAAAAGCTTCAAGCAGTGAATTTTTGAGCTCACAAAAGTAACTCAAACATGCATTAGTTTATATTTATAATTACTTTTTATTGCCAGCACAGCTCAGAATTGCCAGATGGCATGATTAAATTGATCTTTGTGTTGAAATCTGCATATAGGCATTAGACATGCATTAGTTGAGACCAAGAATACTTAAAGCAAAGAGGCAGAGCTAATCCAATCGTGGATCCTAATGTATCTCTTACTAAAGAGCTTCCTGATTACAGACTTGTACTACGTTTCTAAACTGATTAGCCTGATTTTGTTTTGATTAGGTTCATGCAGTGGAGCATATATTGTATCACTTCTCCCAGGAGGTGATATGAAGGGCTGAGTGCTCAGAGATCTGACTTGTCTCTTCAGCTTTTTTGCATGTAGCTGCTTTATAGAAACTCATCTGTGCAAACTGGGCACATGTAGAGCAAGTTTGAAAGCAGCTTTTTGGACTCTCTATGTTCCAAGGAGGTTTGTGAGTGAACATGATTTTAAAGCTGAGTCTTTTTGCAGGTCTCAGTGTGCTCTATTTTCTGTTCCTGGTGTTCGTGCTCTTCCTTAACTTTGAGCAGGTAAAAGCAGTGATGTACTGGCTGGATCCTAATCTTCGATATGCCACAAGGGAAGCAGATATTATGGTATGTATCCATGGCACTTATTGTACATTTTGGCTACTTCAGGCATATTTTACCTGAGTGGAAAGGGATAAATTTGAATTTGCTGGCATCAGCAATGCAAGTTTGTGCCTATACTTGACAGAGTCAACGAGCCCTTTGTGTCACCTACTGTTTATTTACATTGAAATTAACTGATGTGAAAAAAAACTTTTGTTTTCTAATGCAGCTGTTCAGATGAGTGTGCAATTTGAAATGGGATATGTGTTTACAGTGAGGTGACTTTGGATTCCTTTAAGTAATAGATATGAGCCTGGATACTGAAAACAGACTTAGCAAGGTTGTACCTAAATGAAGCCTCCATGGTGTGTGTGTCCCAGACCATTGCTGCTGCAATGCTACACTCAGAGAACTTGGGTATTGCCTTGTTGCTCTGAGATTAGTACGTGACTGGCACACTACAGAGTATGTGGAAATGCAGGTACAACAACTGCAGGATTCTGCTGCCTTCCAGTCACTCAGCTGAGCACTGATGCTGTTACCATTGGGAAATTACTCCCATAGACCTTAGTATGGAGTGACATGGAAAGCCAGGCTTGTTCTTCTGCCTGTTGAGCAGCTTGCGAAAAGTTTTCCTTACAGAGAACATTCCCCCTCGGGTGGGGACACTAGCACAGGGAGCTGAGATTGTAAAAGGAGGCCTGGGAGAAGTATGTGAGTTACGTTGGGAGGCAGGCGGAAGACAGTGTGAGCAGTTGGGCACCAAGAAGAAGAGGGTTACTGCATGGGGAGGCAAGAGTTGCCACTCTTGCCTTCTTCACTATTCCATCAAATTACTGCTCGCCACCTGACCAGCATGCTCCCTTGCCCTTGGGTTTGTGCATCTGGCCACCATGATCACCTCTTGTATAGTCTTATAGTCTCATGCCTCGTGAGTAAGGAAATACTCTGGTTGTCTTTCGCACAGAGCAATTTACTGCATGTGCCGACCGCTGCACAGCACCTCATCAGCAGTGGCTGCAAACTGTAACACATAATCAGGAGTGGAAATATTTACAATGCAGTAAGCTTACGTTAATGAATTGATAGTGATAGGCAGGCTCCTTACCTGGAAAACGGGATGCTTCAGGCATTGCCGATCAGCAGTACCAGATTGTGCAACTCCAGCACGTGAAGTAGGGCCGTGACTTTCGGTTCTGCAGGAGACCTGTGGTGATGACATGGGCAGCTTGCTCCTAGGGTGGTGGGAGGACACATGGCTAAATGGAGCCTGAGCATGGGTGTTAGTGATGTTGCTGAGCAACAAGATGGAGCTGAGACGAGGAGTCTGTTGGTAAGTCAGGTTCACCTGGCTCTCCTGTCATTTAAGTTAGAAATAGATTCAAGTCACGGGAGGACTAGTATTACTACTGGCACAGAACCACAGTACAGCAGATTCCCCAACTGTAGCAATCAGCAGAAACTTACTCTGTGCTACTTTGCAATCCTGATATTGTCACTTAAAGTTGGAGCAAATTAAAGTGCAACTATAATGAAGGTTGCAGCTTGGTTGCTTGCACAGAACCGGCAAAATTACTTTGGTATACAAGAAAGTTCAACACATTTTGCTGTGTGGCTGGCAGAGCTGCAGCCAAAAAGATGAGATAGAGAGGAAAAAAGCCCCAGTACAAATAAAAGCAAAAAAGCAAAAGCCTTGGAAAAAAACTTACTTTTGGAGTAACCTCATTGTACTCACTCATCATAGATATCATGGTGTAGCTAGGAACCTGCACCTTCTGTGGTGCCCTCCAGGTTTCTCCTGCTGGCAAATGAGCCCATTTCAGTTCTTTTGGGTACATGCACTAAAGCTGCAGGATTGCCATCCTTAGAACAGGTGGTGCACCTTTCTCTGAAGGACCAGCAGCATAGGCATGCACAAGAAGCAATACTGTGCTTTCATTTCAGGGAGCACCAGCATTAAGGGTTTTATAGTGAGATTTAACTGCCTGCTGATAGAAGGATTTGTGTAACAGTGTGCATTCTTCTCTTTGTGGTCGCCTGGATTCAAATCTTTCTCTACATCTCCGTTTTAGCTTGATCAGGATTCGTTTGTGTGGGATTAGCAATAGTTCTGGCCTGAAAGAGAATTCTTGGTTTAACGGTGTTGAGTGGTGCCGTGTTGTCACCTGCAGGTGGCAATCTATATTTTAGCAGGATTGGAGACCAGGGGTTTTTAAATGTGTGTTTCCTGTTACGAATAGTTAGTTTATGCCCAGTGACACAACAGAATGCCACAGCTGCAGTCTCCTGATGGCACACAGATTTTATTTCTTGTTGGGCAGTGTTTTCTTGCGCTTGCTGTACAACGTGTTGAGAGAACCCATTTCCTTTGTTATTGGAGACTAGAATATTAATTAATATTCTTAAGGAATCTGTCACTCATCTGTGACAACACAGTTGCAAGCTCCCTTTGATTTTTTTTTTAAATTTTTTCAATTCAGGCCTGCGACTGAACTTCCTCAATATGAATGGGTTCTGGAAAATTGCTTTCATGAGGAAAATAATACACAAAAGATACTCAAGTAAACACTGATACAAGTAATATTACATCACAAACTGGTGAGGATTAGCCACTGATGAGCCACATCTCAATACCAAGCAGCATCAAAATGGGGAAAGAGAGTTATTTCAAATCAAGACTCCAAAGAAGGGTTTTATTGTTTTGTTGTTGCTGGTTTTATTGTTATTGATTTTACTGTTCTTGCTGTTTCTCTATCACATAAGAAATATATGCTTCTTCAGGCACCAGGATCTATTGTATCTCCCTTTAAATTAGAGCTGTACTATGATGGTACTGAGTCTTAATACTGGAAGTTTTCTGGCAGAGTGTAGAAGGACAAGAAAACAAATAATGCTTATTTTAATACCCTTATAATTTCAGACTTGTTGCACTAAATAGAAAGATGTTTCTTCATTCTAGTTTTTCTGAAGTTGTCTGTTGATTGAGTATTTTTGTTGGGTTTGGGTTTTTTGTTGGTTTTTTTTTTCATAACAGGAGTATGCAGTGAACTGTCATGTTATCACCTGGGAAAGAATCCTTAGCCACTTTGATATATTTGCTTTTGGACATTTCTGGGGCTGGGCTATGAAGGCTTTGCTGATCCGCAGCTATGGGCTCTGCTGGACTATCAGCATCACCTGGGAGCTCACTGAGGTAGGCCACCCTTGTATCTTAATTGTAAGCAAATGTATGAGATGTGTTCTTGTGGGAAGTGTGGATGTTACTAGAAGGATGACTCTCTAGTCCTCAGCATAGATTTACATTTTAAGCCTTATAAACCAGGTGCTGAGTAATTGATGCAATTGAATTAGTAGACAACAGCAAGCTGGGTTTTAGGTAAGTGGCTTATTATTGCTTGAATGGGAGGGAGATCTAGGCCAGCTTGTTGGTGCCATTCATAATTTATTTTCCTGCTGTTAGGGAGATCATGCTACTTTTGCTACTTCAGATATTTCCTGATTCAGAGCAACTGTTCTCCTTTTTCACCTTGCAATATCTATGGTCTACTGTCATGATCCCCTTACTCCACATACAACGGGATTACACATTGTGTATAGTCATGCATAATGTACAAGTGAAATGCAATTGGGGATTAACACTTGAATTTAGTCTGTAAAATCAGTTTTCTGTAAAGCTTGCCCTCTTGAGAATGCTTGCCTCATCTGACAAAGCTTTTATAATTCAGAAACATAGATAAGGATTTATTTGTATAAAATTAAACTTCTGGGTTTCAAAATACTGGTGCCATGAGTTCCTCTTCAAAACATATTTTTGTTCTGTGGCATTGAAGGGTATGCCATTTTCTAAGTTATTTTGAAATCACTTAAGATTGGGATTTCACAAGTACCCATCTGCAAAAAAATAATTTTTCTAGTTATTATATTCATATTTTCGCTCTGGAAAAGAATGTATTTGGATTTCTTTCACTTGTACTGTTATTGTGCATTTGATCATCACACAACCATCATCTTCAATTTGACACCACGTGGAGTGTCTTCCCCTTGTTGAAAGGCAGATTATTGGAACAGACAATGTGTTGGATAAGGTTCAACATATGGATATATTATCACCGCTTAAATGGATTTTTGATGAATTAGACAATTCAGGAGAGTAATTTGAAACCTACAGAAGTTGTCAGGGCAATTACGTAGGGATTTAGCTGTGCATCTCCTATTAGCATTTATGGGTTACAGCTGACTCCCCATTCTGAAATGGGAAACTTGGCTCATGCTCCATACTGTAGGATTAAAGTTGGGATGCAGGCAGACCTTGGTCTCTCATTCTGAGAAAGCAGCTAGCACCTTAGAGGTGATCTGGCTAACACCCGTGCTCTGGGCTTTGCTGCCTTACATTCTCTAATTTCTGGTGTCTTTGGTTGGGTCATCGTAGACTGAGATTTGTAGCCTATTGTCCCTTTTAGGTTAAATTAGTTAAAAACATGAAAGGGAAACTTCAGTGGGAAATGAACAACATTATATTGGTTGGGTCCTGAAGAGAAATTCAGGTTTTCTTTTTTACAGGTTGAAATTCATATAGCCTTGTCAAGGTAAAACAAGTGATTTTGATATGCTTTTGCAAGAGTTTTCTAAGGAACTGTCATTGCCAATAATAGTCACTGTAATGTGCTATAAATGGATCAGTATTCGTTCTTGCTCTATACAGAAAACATTCTTCTTGTTCCTTTTCCCGCATCTGACTTTTTCAATATTTTATTTATACATCTGTTAGTAAAAGATACTTTATTATAAAATCATATCAGTAATCTTCCACGGAAAGAGTCTGTGTGCACTGACTGACAAAAGTTGTACTGTTTCTGTGAAGGTAAGAATATACTTTAATTTGCTGTGTGTTTTGTAAGTATCTCCTTGAGTGTTCCAAAGAGACTGCTTAACACATGGCTGTCTTGATTTCCAGTCTATAGCTAAAATTTTCTAATCTGTTTTTTGGGTTGCAGCAATTTTTTTTCATAAAATAGAGTGTACAATTATTTTCTCTTAAAGGAAAGCCACTGAATCCATTTCTAGCTCTTGGTAAATTATATTTATATCTTATTTTAACTCTGGCCAGTTGTTCCCCTCACTCCAGCAGTAATGTAAAGTCACCAAATGTATCTCTAAGTACATTTAATTGCCTTACTAATGCCTCATAGTGATTTTCACTTGAGTATTCTGAAAGGAATAGATTGCTTCAGAGGTAAATGATTTGCACACTTTGCAGAGGAAATCTTGAAGGCATGGGATATGTTTTGATATATCCAGGTGGTGTCAGCTCTTCAATCTAATAATGTTTTTTTCTGGCCTGTTTTCCAGTATCTTCATCATAAAAGTGCCTTCATTGTTATAGTGCTTAGCAGAGACCAAGCAGGAAGGGAGAGTGGAATGTCCTCTTAAATTCTTGACACAATCTGGATCAAGTCTAGCAGCAAAGCTTGTAGAGTCTGAAATGTTGGTGAACTCCTTATCTTTTAGAGTCACTAAATTTAGATGAAAATAATAAATGAAAGATAGGGTTTTGAAAAAGAACAAGTATTTAGTCCTGAACACCACCATGCTTAAGTACTGACTATTGTTACAAGTGCATCCATTCCACTTACCGCTGTTGCTGGTTTAGAAAACATACTTCTTGAAACTATTTAGCAAAAGTAAAACAAAGATTCTTTTCAACTTACTTTTAAAGCACAAACCACCTTATTTCCTCCAAGAAATGCAGTAGTTCTGCTTGTTTCATGCATTTCTATGAAGGTTCTGTGTATCACCTTTGAGAGGCCAAGAGCTGCATGATCTCCTTATATACAGCATAGCCCCAACAGGAAACCATGAGAAGGAAACCTCTGATGTCTTGTGTGGTTCTGTCCAAGGCCTTCTGAAGTTAAAGAAAAGATGTCTGTCAGATTTCAGTGGTTGTGGCTTATGTCATTGAAGTATTCTGTGTACTGAAAAGCTGATTTTTGAATGTGTACTTAAAAAGTGAATTTATATGAATTCTGTGCTGTTCCTCACCCAGAATCTCTTTGCTGTATTCTGTAGCTCTTCTTCATGCACCTTCTGCCTAATTTTGCTGAATGCTGGTGGGATCAAGTCATTTTGGACATCCTGCTTTGTAACGGGGGTGGCATCTGGTTGGGCATGGTAGTTTGTCGTTTCTTGGAGATGAGGACCTATCACTGGGCAAGCTTCAAGTAGGTCTAAATTAAAGCTTGATAAACATTATGTTCGATGTTATAATGTTAAATTTGTGTCCTTGGGAAATAGACCACCTTCTTTGCTTAAGTAAAATACATGTAGTATAGAAATAGCACGCAATCTGCCTGTGCTAACAAGGCTGTAATTTTATTTTAAATGTTAAATATCAATCTCATCATAATGCTACTGTACAGCATATATTTGTAAATATGACTGTATATATAATTTTCCTTTGCAGTCCTAACTTACAAGCATTGATGCCAATGGAAAATATAATGTAGTAAAGCTATTTGTGTTTTCAGTTAATTTTGTACTTTGAGGAAGGCAGGGAGCAAAACAAATTGTACTTGTTTTCTCATTATACATTTTTTAAACTAGATTTGGGCTCAGCTTGAGAATGCATTAGTGTGGCAATCTGTCAGCACTAGTTGTAATTGTAGAAGAGGCATCAGACTGATTGCACCTATTCTGTGAATTGCCTTACCCCATTGCTGACCCTCTGAAATAAATGGAGTAATTGCAAAATAAAGAGGTATTTGTTGTGTAAAAGGGCAGCAGATTGTGACCTAGTAAGTGTCAGTTCCTAGCTGTCCACATGGTTTCTTCCATAGTTTTTAACATCTCTCCAGCCTTCTTCCCAGCCAGTTGGTAGCAAGCATGGTTATCTGCACATTAGCAATGGTGTAGATGAAACAGGTTGAGTACAATGAATTGCCTCGAGAGATGGAAAACGAGCTCAAATCTTGACTTCCAAATTTGTACGCCATGTGAATTTCTGTACCGATTTCTTTTCTTGCTCACAAATTTGTTAATTGTTCTAAGCACCATCCAGCCTTTAGCCTCAATTCAGTTTTCCTTCATTTCCAATAGAGTCGATGATCCTTCTGTTTTTAGAGTTCACTGAAAGTTTAGACAACAGAATATCTATGGCACAACTAGTCTTCACTGTCTTTGTGGAATGATTTTTCCTCACATTCTTTTAAATGCATGGGTAGATTTTTTGATCTTTAATATGAAAGTGCTGCATAAAATTAGAAGCTTTTGCTTGGGCCCTTTTAATTTATTTTTCTCTTTTTTTCATTGAATAAATATAGATCTTAAAATTTAGAAGATACTCTCTCACCCAAGGTCTCTCTAGCCTAAAAGAACACAAATATCAGAAATATGAAATCTGAGTCTCTTTTTTTGTTCAGAAGGGCCAGAGAAATAACAGGGTGAAAACTGACTTCTATCCCTACTAGTCTTCCTCCATAAAAAGAAACTCTGAGTTTTTCTTAGATTCCCTGTCCTTTGGATGCTGTTGCTCATCTGAATCAATGTTATCAAAAGCAAGAACCAACCAGTAATACATATGTCAGATGAGCCTCCATTAAAATCCTCTTTCTAATTGGAATTTAGTAGATTTCTAGCTTTTAACAGTGCTATCGCACCTCTCCAGGAGGTCCACATGTATCTTATATCAGAACAGCAGGGGCTATATGTACTGGAAGTGTAGTAAAATCTGTGTCAGAATTTTTAAACGTGTGGAGCCAACCCTTTATACAATGGATGAATAATGAATCTGACAGATTCTTGAAGGATTGATGTCAGTGAACTCTAGCACAAGGAGTCTTTGGGATAACAGTAGTGGCAACATAGACTAGGAAGAAATATCCTCTAGGTTTTCCAAGGGGGTTGCAGAATTGCAATCCTTGTATCTTTCCTTCGTGGAGAGGATGATAAATGTTTTGTAGTTAGTTAGTGACTGAGGATAGAGAAGGGTGGGCTTTTATAGCAGAATAGCACCCTGACTGAAATGCTTAGTAGGTAGTTCCTTAATTCACCCTTGTGTCTGTGAAGGTCTCTGCTGTCCATCAAAAAAGTGCAATTGTTCCAAAACATCAGTAACACGGCTGTTGTTTTTCTTTCCCTCGCATATTCCTTGTATTTACTCCAGCCATTCTATTTTTCTAGGGACATTCACACAACCACAGGGAAAATCAAAAGAGCTGTACTGCAGTTCACCCCAGCCAGCTGGACCTATGTCCGCTGGTTTGACCCAAAGTCATCATTTCAGAGAGTGGCTGGAATCTATCTTTTCATGATCATTTGGCAGGTAAGAAATAAATTCTGTGACCTCAAAGCTGCCATCAGCTCAGTTACTTGTTGGCTATGTTAGACTAGAAAATATTCTAATGCAATGTAGATTGCATTAGAAATACACAATTAAATGAACTGATAATACACAATTGGTCAGGATATTGCTCAGAGAAGTTTCATGATAGTTCATGAATGTAATTGCAGAGCCTATGGAAGAACCCAAATGTTACAGATTGCTGTACAGGCCATCAGATTGCTCTTTCCAATTGATACAGATTTAAAAACTGCTAGACAGTGGGGGCTTGAGATGGTGGATTTTTAATTTATTTTGGTTTTGTTGTGTTGATTGGGGGATTTTTTTGGTTGTTTGTTTTGTTTGGGGTGGTGGTTTTGTGTGGTTTTTTTTTTTTTTTTTTTTTTTACTTTCCCATTGACTACTGAATGGATCAGTGATGCTCAGGATACTGGCCTTGACTCTGTAACATGTCCCAACTGCTTTGGTACTTCATCATGAAAATAAAACTAAAACTTTTTTTAAATTTTTTTTTTACTTTGCTAATTTAGTTTTTAAAAGGAGATTTAAAAAATTTTTTTTAATGTGTGATCTCTTCTCCTTCTCTCCCAAAATTGCCTTTGTCGTTCATACCCGATTTAGGATACGAAAGTTTTCAAGACCTCTGCAGTGTGAATGAGTGTCTGGTCCCTTAATTTGTTTCTGGAAAGATAGCAAATACTTTCATAGAGGTGTCTAGGGCAGAGTTCTTTGTTTTACTTGTATATTCCTTGCTTGTCCTAGAGCAGGAGTCTTAGACTCTTAAAATGTTCAATCTAACCAGCAGGGTTATAGTAGAGCATAAATAGTTTTTCTTCCATGTTTTAGTTTCTACATTAATCTTTGCACATTTTCTGTACTAATTCATTAGGTGTCATGTAAGTTAGACACTATTAACCACCTTTTTTTTCCCTAGCTGACTGAATTGAACACATTCTTTTTGAAACATATCTTTGTGTTCCAAGCAAGCCACCCTTTAAGCTGGGGGAGAATTCTCTTCATAGGAATCATTACAGCACCCACTGTAAGGTAATTTTTTTGATTAAGTGGTTTTTTTCTTCATTTTAAAGTAGTTTAACTTCTAGGCATCCAAGAACTGCATAGAGTTTGTGAATAAGTATGGCACATTTCAAGAAATTTATGCTTTTGCTGCCATGAAAAGCAAAACAATCATATTTTTCAAAAAAATGTATTTTCTGACAAGTAAACTGAGGTAAAATGTGTATAAACAATTGCATTGCCATAGGGATACAGAACTAATCTGTTCCATCTTCTATTTCATGACATCTCCCTGTTTTGTGAGATAGCTGCATATGTTGTCCTTGAGAACTGCTTGTGAAAGTATCCAAGTTAGTGAGTCAGGTGCTCACAAAAGTGGAGATGAGGATAAATAGAGTTATTTGTTTTTCTAACAGCTCCTTACTGTGTCTGTCTACAGGAAATATTAGCGTGTTATAAGAAAAGAGAGCAGTAGCATATTGTGAGAACAAAACAGTATATATGCAGCATTAACAGCTGTATAGAAACATTGATCTGCTTTTAGTCATGCATGTGATTTCATGTTATTAGCAGAGTACCTTCATTTTCTCTTCTTTTCCCATGCCATAGTTGGCAGTAGACAGAATGCACACAAGTCTGAAGTTACAGGCAGAGAATCACATTAAAGATCCTGTGAGCTGTCACATAGGTGCACTTTTAAGGGGTTTTTTATGGCACTTGCACACCTGTGGATGTCTTAATTCTTTAGCAATCCTTGTATTGTTGAATAATAACACTTGTCTTCCCGATCTGTCAGTGGAAATCGGAGACTGGGAAAAGGAACTTTGGTTCCACTTCTTTGTAATTCCTCTCTATAAAGTCTTAAAATTCCAGATCATAAAGAATAGGGCAGAATGGTCCCCTGACTGTTTTCAAAATAGTGAGAAATTCTAGTGGTTTTGAGAGGAAAATATGCCGATGGTTAGACCACTCAAACAGGATATAGAATAGCCATATTCAGTTTCTTTCAAGACTTAAACCCACATTTTTCAAGAAAACACAATTGTTAATAAAGACAAACTGTGGATAACGTGGAGGATTCTCTAATTCTTTCAAAGCTGTTGCGCTTTGCCCATAAGAACTGGAGATTCATTGGAGAAGCAGGAGACAAATTTGTTGCTTTGTTAGCCTACTAGTTTGGGGACTTTCCCAGTCCTCAGTCTCAGGGTTATTTTCTGTGTTGTTTCAAGCTATTTGATCTGTGTGATAATCTGTCCCACTGGAATTGAAGCCATCTGGTAGACATCCAAAATGATTGCATGTGAATTTAACCATCAGCACTTCATTTTCAGTATAGATACATCTGTAACATAAAGTTGTTTTCTAAGTATAATGACTCTGTGACTTTCAACTTTACTGAAGAATTTTCTTGCTTCCCTCCTCAGGCAATACTATGCGTACCTCACAGATACACAGTGCAAGAGGGTGGGAACTCAGTGCTGGGTGTTTGGGTAAGTGTTCTTGCTGCATTCTTGGAGCACTTGGATAAGAGCTAAGTATGGGTCCAGCACAGGAACAGTCTTTCCATGAAGCCAGTCCTTGTCTTGTGTTGGTTTTGATTTTGCAAGTTCAGAGGAAAGGAAAATTATGAATTTGGAGGTAGAGCATGGAAAGTGATGGAATGGGTAAGGAGAAGAACAGAAGGAAGACTGGATAAAGCTAGGGGCTCCTTCAGAGTAGCATTGGCCTTGCTACCCATATTCTCAGTCAGGTGAGAAGGATAAAGCTTTTGCCTCTACAACTGGTTGTAAGAGTAATGTTTCCCAGGCTGTCAAAGTGGGCATTGCTGCAGTTAGCAGAATCACAGCAGAAGACAGTGAAAGAAACCACAGTTACCAACTATTTCTATGGAATGGTGCTATGAGCAATGGTTACCTTGGCTACAATCTCTTTGTCTCTTGGAGCAGATTTTTAAGTGAAGAGTTTGCATGATTGCTTCTGGTGAGAACTTCCTTCGCTAGATGGCTTGACTAAACCGTTCTGAAAACCTGAAGCATATTTTTTTACAACATATAGAATATTTGTATATGTGGTGACCAAGACACACTTCTAAAGGCACAAATGGAATTCTTAACAGCCTAACCATGGAAATAATTAAATTTAGTGCCTTTCATTAGCACAAAACTGTTTCTTTTCAACTTGAGATATACTAAAGCATCACTCTTGATAAGCAATGTAAGGTATGAAGAAGGCCAATGCAACAGCCCCACTGGAATTGCACCATTTTCATTAAGATGGAGCCTTCCAAAAAGGAATATCTGTTAGGATGTTGCAAGACCATTTCGATTGAATAAAAACTTACTGTCTTTAGTTCTAATGAGTAGTCTTATCACCCTTCGGTAGGACACTAACACCTTTCACTGTTAGCATTCTTCTATCTTTTGTTTTACCACTTCATAAACTGTAATAGCTGTCCTATTGTACAGTGTACTTAACTCAAGTATTCTTGACAGGAATAACAGAAAGAATGTATAAATGCCAGACAAACAGCTGTGTTGTTTTTTGAGTTGTTATTGAAAGTAGTCTATTGTTTTGTTTATACCTTTGAGTATATTGCAACTCCATGTTTGTTTCCTTTGTTCCACACTATTTTTCTGATGATGGTCTTTCTGTTCCTACTGCTGTAGTATGGTTTAATGATTTTTTTACTCTGCAGCTGAATCAGTAAGAATAATATAAAACCAGGAAAGAAAAATAGTTGATAACCCAGCAGAGTAACACTGCTCTCAATTTTTTACTAAAATGCACCTCATTAATTTTTAGTATTAATCAGTTGGGTGTTACTTCCACAGTTGTAAGTTTTGGCCCCACTCATCATGCTGCAAGTCACATTAGATAGTACAGAGAAAGCTGTCATTTATTATGTGCACCAGGATCATGTCTGCAATACCAGTGGTTTAGTCAAGCACATGTCTTTCCTCCTTCTTTGATCAGAGGAAACTGGGTCTTCTTGGACAGGTAGTAGTGCCATTTTTGGGAACTCCCTGGTTTTGGAGAGTGCTGATAGGAAATATGTCCTGCAGTATCAAGCTTGGCAGACTGGAACACTTCACATGATGTTAAGTGTGTCTGCACAGGAGGAGTTTTCATGCATTGCTCGTGTGTACAACCTTAAAGTCTCTATTGAACAAGTTAAGTATTAAACTTCTATGAATTTAATAGTGGTTTTCATAATTTCCTTCAGATTAAGACAAGTAATTTTTCTACACTTTTGCTGCACCAGTCATGTTTCTACTCTTGTATTGGTTAAACATATCTAATTTTGTATTCAGGACCTATACAAACTAAATGTATTTCCATGGCAGGCGATGGAAGCTTTGGATTCATAACCCCATGTTCCATGCCAAGTGGTGGACAAGCCTCCATAGCTTTGAACCTGAAAAGGAGTGGTGGCAGGGAGAGAGATGGAGGCACTTTTTTGATTCTTTCATTGTCAGAGAGGAAAGTAAAAACTAAATTTTTTTCCTCTCGCATTTCTCCCCAAATCCTCTGATGCTGTAGTGTGGACCTGAGTTTACAGATGAACCACAGCAAATGCGTGAATTCTCAAAGAATTTGAAATGCTGTTTCTTATGAATTTTCTCATTAAAATCCATGTGAGGCAAGCAAAGTATACAGTTTAGAATTGTAGTAAATTTACATCCAGTAGAGAAATACACAAAGCATATTCTAGTTCATCCAACAAGGGAGTCTGTTGGTTGTTCAGCATAGAAAAGAAATTTATATCTGATGAGAGCTGAAGCATAGTGGTAGGTACAAACAAAAATTCTCTCCTATTGGCACACACTCCTGCTTGTTCCCTGGAGCCCCAGGGAACAGTAAACTACCACTTTGTGTGTGCTGTTTATGCTGAAAAAAGTATAGAAAGAAAAAGAAATTTCTCAAAGAATTTCAGTTAATGGTGGTGTCAGGGAGGTGTGTGCTCACTAGAGGGTAGTGCTTGTTTAGGGCTGACAGTCTGGGATCTGGGTTGTGATCACGTGAGTTAAATCCTTAGTGTTTGTAACCACTCTCCCCCCTTTTTCATTTATCCACAGGGCTATTGCTTTCCTTGAAGCTATTGTGTGTATAAAGTTTGGACAAGATCTTTTTTCCAAAACACAAATACTGTATGTTGTGTTTTGGCTTCTCTGTGTGGTAAGTGAGATTTCTCATGTGAAACCTAAAGCATGAGAAAAGCATTGAAAGCATCTAAATAGCTTCCTCTGGAACATTGGCAGCAGGGGATCATTGTGGGGAAATGCTGGTAAAGAGCTTTGTACGCGTCCTAGAAAAAGCAAATGCTAGATTGCTTAGAGCTCACTTTGAAGGGACTAGAATAACTTATTTTCTTATATCTATAAATAGCAAAGTATAGCGACTGTACTGGTGCTTGACAATGAAACAAACACTAGTTTTAGGGTGCTTTATCCTAACGAGAGAAGGTGTCAGTTCAACTGAGCCTAACTTTGGTGGTGCTTGCTGTAGTGCCTGCTGGAAGTGAACAGGAGTTAATAGGTAGTGCTAATAAGTAGTGTGTGTTGTGTCACACTGAAGTCTTACAACTACATAAACAACTGTGCTCTATTAGGCAAATCATTCACACTCAGCCTGTAACTTTCTGTACTTCAGTGTGATTACTGCAAATGCAGCATGAAATGCCCATTTTATAACAGTAAATGGATGTTTGCCTTGCCAGACTTGTAACTCTGATGCCAAACGCATTTTTCATGGTCAGTGAAGAATAAGGCATTTATAATGGGCTGACAGATAAATACTTCTCCCTTCTAGTTGGTAACACAGTTTGAACAGGTGATGGGGAGTCAGAACTTATTGTTCTCTTATTTAGCATGTTAATTTTATTCCTGAAGCTTCAGAAGAGAAAAGTATTGCATTGTTTCCTGGATCAGAGCACCACAAAAACAAACATGCAGCCTAGCCTGAAGTATGGGGCAGGGAGAAGGAGAACTCATTTTTCTCCTAGACTGGTTGTTCTTGATAACATAAATACAAGTGCCTACTGACTCCTTTTGTCAGGTTGTGGACAGAAACCGTGCTGGCACTGTGGGTGATCTGTATGTATTTTCATGCTCCTGTTGAGAATTGGTCTGCATACCCCATGGTGGTAGAATCCATGGGTACCTTGAAGTTAAAGCACGAGTCTCTACTCATCTGACAAAAGATACAGGAAGAAACAGAGCATGAAATCTAAATGTGAAATCTCCAGGGACTCTGAGACCTTGAACCAGCAAGAAATTTTGAAAAAGTTTTACAGATTATTTTTTTCTTTTTCTTCTCCTCCCTTGTTTAGGCCTTTACAACTTTCCTTTGTCTGTATGGTATGGTTTGGTACGCAGAGTACTACGGCCACCGAGAAAAGGTACTTAAATTAAAGAAACCTGGGTTTGTTTTATAACAGTTAAAACTGCAAAGCTCCTAGATATTAGAATTCTTTACCAGAGCTAGTATAAATGGGGATGAGGGGGGATGGTCCAGAGTCTAACTGAAGTCAATAGAAAGAGCTCTGAATTCAGCAGGCCTTGGACAGATCCCAAATTACACTGTGGTTTCTAAAGAATGCTGTCCTCTTAGTTGCTCAAAATGAGGCTGTAATTTTAGCAAAGCATTCAAGGATGAATGGTTAGCTAATGTTCCCATTGTACAGGTGGAATGCTAGGGGAATATTAAGAATACTTGGTTACACAACATATCATGTGGCAAGTGGTGAGTTCTTATTGTATCATTTATGTTGTACCTTCTAATTTGGAAGGGAAAACTCTTAAGTACTGTACGAATGCTTTATGAGGACTTCTGCCACAGTTTAAGTTTACAAGTCCAATACTGATCACAAGAATCACCAGCACCCCAATGACGTGTCCTTGATTTTGCAGACCTTGTCAGAAAGTGAAGACAGTCCATACAGTCCAGATGCTTCCTGGCTTCATTCTAAATTCACCACAGGTATTGGCACTTCTGTAGCTATATTTTTGAAATGGTAACATTAAGGCTCAACACTAGAAAATGAGGCTTGAGAAACTTAGCTAGCAAACAGCTGGACTTATTTAATATCCCTGCAGGAGCTATGTGGATAAATCATCTGCAAAGCTATTTTGCTTTACTGCCTTTTTTATTCTAACTCGTGGAAAAGTATTTATTTTTTAATGAATCAACTGAATTTTTCTGCTGTTACTCCAGGTCATTCTTGTATGTTTTGGGCATTATGCATTTCATAACTGTTTTGGACAGGTTTTCTCTCTGAACATTTTGTGTTTGATTTGAAACATATTAATGTGAATTGTGCTTTTATTTCTGCTTGTTAAGAAACAGTCAAGAATGTGCCCAGGAGCTTGTGTTCTTACTGACACTTGCCTAGTCAGTGCAGTGCTGATGGTCATAATAAACAGCTTTCTCTGTATTAAGCAAAGGCAGCCTTCTTTTGACTTCTTTTCCCTATGCTAGAGGTCAGTTATCTGCCTCCTCCATTGGGTCTTTAGTGTGGTCATGCTTATTCACACCTGGAAGTTATCTCTGTCAGAGTTTATGCTCCAAATGTTTGTATCGTTAAAAATATTTCTTATTTATCACATGCTTGCAAAGCACCTACAGCAGAGTTTCTTTATATTTCATATGTGATTTTTCTGGATGTTTATTCTCAGTTAAGTAGATTTGTGGACTTTTATATTTTCAAGAAAAATTACTTGCACTCAAAATGTTTTTCCCTTGTATGTATGCTGGAGAAATCTGGCCAAGCAAGTCTTTTTCTCTGACCTCTGAATTACACACTTCAGCCTCTTTCACATTTTGTCCTTCATTTCTTCTTTTGGTCTCCTCTGTTTTCTCAGTGTCAAACATGGCCTGTCATATGAAAACCTGAAATGTACTCTTGCAAGGATCTGTGACCTCGTTTACATAGTTCTTAATTTCTAATAGTAGTACCTGCCACTAAGAAAAATGTGAAAGTTTAATTATTGATGTGATTTTAAATGGAAAATATTTCACCACTATATTTTGCTATAGCAAACTTCTGATTTTATTTTTTTTGGTGGAGGAAGAATTTTACAGGAGTCTTGAGAATTGCTTTTTAAAAAAAAAATATAGGCCACTAGATGGAGTACAAGTATCAACCAGTTTAGCCTGAAATAATCCATACTGTTGTAAACACTGTAGCTCTCAAAAGCCTTACTGTCTTTCAGACAAGAACTTGACAATGTCAACTATATATAATAAAAAAATATTTATTTCTCAGCAGGTACTGACAATAGTCCACCAAAACATTCAGTCAATAGTGAAAGCCACTCATCTAGAAGGAGGAATCGGCATTCCAAATCAAAACTATCAAATGGAGTTGGCAAGAAATAAGAGTGGTCTCTAAAGACATCCTACAGTGTGACCAGAGGTCATGAAGATCAGACCTGGCTCTGAATTGCCAAATGGAAGGTGGATTTTTAAATTAAAAAGTTTAAAAAAGGATGAAGAAGAATGGAAGAAAAGGATGATGAAGATGGAGCCACCAGTGTAGTGCAGATAATTGCCTGCTGACACTTGCCATTCACTGATATAAATCTAGTTTCTTCAGCATGTGGCACCAAAAGCTCATGAAGGGTATGCTGGAAAAAAGTGTACTGTTGTCATAGTAGGTACACCCTGTTTTGCGTTCAGATATTGCAAGTGCATTTTTAATATCTTAGTTGAGGACTTAAACACAAAGGTTAGTAAATTGATAGTTGTCACGGTTGGATTTTTGTTTGTTTGTTTTGGTTTACTGTTTTTGTTGTTTTCTACAAGAGTATGCAATCCTTTGACTAAAAGCAACTCTGCCCTTCTTTCTGAGTCTCGCACCAAAACTTCTCCATACAACAGTTAGTAAAAGCAGCTACTTGTTCCATACAACAGTTAGTAAAAATTTCATACTGCTTGCTTTTGCTTAAAGGCTCTTTAGACCTTGTGTCAGGGTTTTATCAGCAAGGAAAATGAGTCCAGGTTTCTTGTAAAGCATGTGACATTAATCTTCTAACAGTTTTTTTGTTCTATACTGTCCTGCTTCATTGATACATGCTCAATTTCTTTTGAATTTTTAAAATACATATATACAAACCTGCTCCATAGTAGAGGGACATGCCTCCTGTCCTCAGAGACAGATGTCCTGTTATTTCATTGTTTTTCCTCCTTTACTGCAATGTGTTTTGCATTTTCAGGTGTAAAGATGTCATTTTCTCAGCTGTGCCATATTGTGTACAGTGGTCCTTCCCACTCCCTTCTAATTTGCCTCCATCTCAGCTGGAACCAGAAATCCCATTGTTTTCAGACTGATACCAGAAACTGCTTTGAAGGCTCAGATGCCCTGCTGAGCTTGGTGATAAGGCAGTCTTTCGCTGAAGCAGAGTTGCTTACCATCTCCGTAATTACATGTGAAGATTTGCTGTAGTCTTTGGTGTCTGAGAGGCAGCATGATGTTACTCTGATATACCCCATTGCTTTGGTATTTCCTATCATGCATCAGACACCGAGCAGCAAAGTTGTTTTTTTCTTGCAGTTTTGTTTTTTTTTTTTTTTCTGAGGGTTGTGTGAGGTTTACTTTTTGTCTGGGTGTTGTTTTGTTGCCTTGTTTATTTTTTTTAAGTGTATTAATTCTGACATCTGGCAGTGGATAAATCTCCAGCAGTGAATGTAATTATTAAGTCAAGAGGTAAACAATCATGAGCAATCAGCTCCTGTATTAAGTTATCCAAATGTTTTTGTGCCAATTAAATTTTAGGATTCAAGGTGTTCAGAGCTTAAGTTGCTTAGTTTTTATGAGAAAATGAGATTTCCTTTTTCTTTGAATAATATTACTGTGATTTGCCACAGGCTAAGTACTAAAAAAAAAGATGCAGCAGAGAGTTTGTACAAGTGTATGATACTGTAAATAGAAAAAAGTATCCTCTGTAATCCATCAGTTCCTACCTGCCGTAGATTATCAATGTTTTCAATGCACTTAAGTGTTGCTGCTGAACTCCTCAGAGGCCTTTCATTTCCCACCCTGCTCTTCAATCAAACATAAGTGTACAACTTTGGAAGTAACACAGTAGAAGCTGCAATATCATCATTGCTACAGTGACATTAACTGTTACATGAGAAAAATGTAAGGAAGATTTTCAGGCTCTTCTACAACTACTTGGTTTTCATTCATGCTATAAGAATTCCACATGCTGCCTTCCTATTCGTAATGTACTACATATGGATGAATGTATTTGTAGATTTCTTTGGATACTGAGACTTGTTACTTTTTTATTTCCTTGGCTAATAACTCAGTCTGAGTAAGACTGAAAAATGGCATTGTAAATTTTCTATTGATTCAATACCAAAGCAAGAGATTTGAAGTCTAATGGTTTAGATATTTTAAGTACTGTGGTTTTCAAAGGTGAGAGCCTGTTTTGTACTTGCAAGGTGTATACACACCAACTATGTATACAAAGCTTACATGTGTAAGCTTTAATATGGTTATGAAGTACCATATTTACTTGCCTGTGGGGACAAACACATATTTTGTAAATGCAGACCTGGTGCTCACACTGCTGAACTGCACCCTAAAAATATTGGAAAGGTCAATATGAAGTGTCATCTTGTTGGAAGCTGACTTCTGTATACTGTTGTAACAGCTTGACCTTGAAGAAATGTTGTTTGACAACACCTTTAAAGATATTTCCAATGAAGTCTTTTTACTTTAATTTTTTTGTGTTTGATTGGTTTTTTTTGGTTTTGTGGTTGTGGGAGTTTTTTGTTTGGGTTTTTTTTTTTTAGTTTGTTTGGTTTGGGGGTTTGTTGTTCTGTTTTATTTCAATTTTAAAAGAGGGATGGCTAGGGAGAGGTGAAACTTAAGTAAACTATTCAAGTGCTGCTTGGAAAATGTCACTTTGTCTCTATCAGCGGTTCTGGCTGGAATTGTCACAAGTCCTCCACTGACTGACAGCTGTATTTTCAGCCCATCATTTTGGACATGAGCTTTGCACTGGAAGGCATTAGAAAGGTGCTTTTGATCACTGCTGTAAAATTAGTGATCTCAATTTTATCAGTTACTGTGCTGCTGCTGAATTCTGTATGTGTGTAACACCTGTAATGACAAATCACTGAGCTGTTTAGCAACAAGCATCCATGTATGAGTTCTGCTGCTTAAACAGTGTTTTGTAACAGTCATGGATGCACTGTCCTGTTTTCAACTACTTGTTCTGTCACAGCCACTCATTCCTACTTTCCTGCTTCTGGCGTTCTTTCCTTTCTCTGTCCTCTAGTGATCCCCCCTGCTGCTATGGAGAGATCTGAATTGGCTCTCCAGAGGCTGACCATCAGTAGTGTCAGTCATTGAAGGGAGGCTAATTCAAGGCAGGGTGGTGTAAGCAGAGGGTAGTGGCAAGAACTTTAAGTAGTGGATTAAATAAAAATGGAAAGTTTTAAAATGCAGGTGTACAGTGAACTAGAGCTAGCCTTGGGTACTGAATTCCAGTATTAAAGTTGCTGCGTGGATCATACACCGCATCTAATTAAATATTTGGAGTGTGATTTCAACCAGTTCTTTTGTTACTCTGCTGTGAAGATCATCATTTCATGTTCCAGCTGTTAAAATTTTAATATTTTTTACTTTGTTATCATAAGAGGACACAGATGTTGCCACATATTTAGTAGTTTTTGAATAGAGTTGCTCTGTATTGGTTGCAAAGTACTGTATTTTGCAATAATTGAGTAAATCAACCCATGTCACCAATATGTGTGTTTGTCTGTACCTATAAGGCATAGGAAATGATTACATACTGCTTTTAGAAGCCATTATGTTTTATTCTAAGTAATTGCATTCTGACAAATGCAGTGGTTCTTGAGCAGCTTACAGTAAACTCTAAAGTTTTGCTGTAATTTATTATTTTGGAGCAGCAGATCTGATAATATGAACAGTTATGTTACCCCTTCTGAAGTCTTTCTAGTATACAGGGTAAATTCTTGTCTTACTTATTCTTTCTGGATTTGTTTTACTATTGCATGGGAGAGCTGAGTTGCGAGATGATCTCATGGCAGACCTTCAAAAATGAAATGAGACCTCTTGTAGAAGGACCTGTAAGACAGGCTAGTGGAAAGTAAACTTTTGCCAATATAAAGGTGTCATTGAGTCTCAGAAACACTTTGCCTTGGTTTTTACTGCTAGCACAGTTTCCACAACAGCAATTTCCAAGTTTTTTAATACCTAAAACCTGTTGTGAACTGGTGATTGCTCCTCTGCTGTTGGCACTAGCCTGTTGTCTAGTCTGTAAAGCAGCATAGCTTTCCCTTTCTTCCTCAGTTCCTTCTCTATACTGACATTGAATACTGGGACTTTCTGCCTTTCTGGGAAGGGCTTTTCTTCAACGTGAATTATCTTTTTGAATACTGATATATAGAGAGCCCATAAATTCTGAGGTTGTAGTAAAATCGAGAATAGCCAGAACTTAATCTTGTTCATTCCCTGGGAAAAATGGCTACGAGGCAATTGTTCAGCTTGTAAATCTCTTCTGAAGGGTGGGAAAGTACCTGATTAAACAATTTATAAGAGCCACCCCTCTCACAGAACACTGCTTACTACATTGAGTCATAGAATATACTGAGTTGGAAGGGACCCATCAAGATCAAGTCCAACTCCTGGTCCTGTGCAGGATGTTCCAAGAATCACACCATGTGCCCAACAGTATTGTTCAGACACTTCTTGAGCTTTGTCAGGCTTGGTTCTGTAACCACTGCTCTGGGAGCCTGTTCCAGTGCCCAGCCACCCTCTGTTCCTGATGTCCAACCTAAACCTCCCCTGACTCAGCTTCATGCCATTTCCTTGAGTCCTATCACTGGTCAGGAGGGTGAAGCCCCTCTGCTTCCACTTGAAAAATGCGCTCCTTTGTAAGCATTGGGCTCTACTATATTTGAAGGATCAATCTTTGTTGTGTGTCTTGGTAGTTGCTGTTGTGGGTGGAGCTCTAATGAGCAGTGTCAGGATAGGGTCAAATGGGCCAGATGGCTTCAATTTCTGCTCGGTTGCCCTGTGGCACAACTTGCATGCTATTTAGATCTTGTGATTTGTCACAGACTGGAAGCCAGAGCCAAAAACTGGTGTCATAACAGCCAAAAACTGAAGTAGGTTTTGGTGTCCATGCTTACTTTGGTGTCTGCTCACATTCAGCTACACCCTACTAACATGTGCAGAGGCCTAAAAACTCTCCTGTGCCATTGTGTTCCCACGGGTATATGCTGGAGCGCTATAAGGACTACATGATTAGGTTTAACCAGAGGTTTCTGAGCTGATTTTAAGCCTTGTATGCTCAAAATACCTCCTGCAGTACTCTGGCTCCCTCTCCCTGCAGGTCTGATCTGCTGCCTTATCTATACTACATAGTTCTGTTTTCTGGAGCCCTGTCAGGGCCAGGTCCTAATTCAGCAAATTAAGGTAGTTCCCTTAAAGTGGAAATGTGTTTTGAACAAACACCTGCTCCCCTTACTCACTTTGCATTTGCTTTTGAATGGCTGGTCAGGAATTGGGGATGTACATTGTTACTTAAAGAAAGTGGAACTAAAAAACCACAAGCTCTTCATACACTGGGCTGAAAAGCACAAGAACAACCAGGCTCGTGGCTTATGCCCAACAAGCTGCATGGTCTGTTATCTTTATGCCTGCTCACTCATCTAGCAGAGCTGTGTCTGTGACTGCAGGTGCACCTCAGGTGCCTTCCCCTGTGCTGGTTTCATGTGCACGAGCCCCTTCTGAAGCCAGTCGATAATCAAGCTCTGCTGCTCCCAGGTTTTTTTGGAGTAAGTGATACACCTTTCAGACTTCTCAGCACATCTGGGACCAGAGGGCTTACCATTGACAGTGTGAAGATAGTGAGTAGGTTTTCAGGCTTGCTTACATTTTATATGGTACCAATCAAGCTAATGACCTGCCTGTATGTGAGAGTTCTATGTATAAACAACAAGGCTGGCTCTAGAAACCCAGTTTGGGTCTGGAGAAAGTACTTTTTATTTTATTATTTGTTCTTGTTTCTGGACAATTCTAGACCCGCTGTTGCTTTTGGCAATATACAGTTTGCTATACATTTCCAGAACATCATGAAGAGCAGACCCTACACAAGTCTGTAGTGTGTTTTTCACCTCTCTGTTCACTTTGGAGAACTGATCAGGAAAATTCATCAAGTTCCCTCATACTCTAAAGATGAGTCCAAGTCATGGTTATCTCAAAGGACTTTTGAAATTTTGGATATCAATTTTTATTTCCAGCTCCTTCCCCTGTCTTTAATTTGGACTGTATCTTCTTGTGTTTCCATCACCTCTCAACAAAAGACCAGAATTGGTCTCTCATCCTTGGATTTTGGTTTTCTCACAGAGGAGTAGTCCTGCCCTCAGTAGTCTAAATTATGCTATGGTAAGACCAAGTGAGTTTTTACTTCAATGCAGAAAAAAAAGAAAATGTGGGAAAGAATGCAAATTGTAAACATTAGATTCCTATAATCAGCAACAATGTAATTGCCAGACTATACTAAGGATACACATGGGCTTAATTTTCTTCATTTTTGGGGATCTCAGTTTGCTGATGATCATGAAATAACTGGATGGCTTATTTAATGTTTTTAAAGTAGGGGAATTTACAGCAGCAGCATTCCTATGGCTGTGATCCAAGTATGTTCTACAATTACTGTGCCCTCCAGTTCAGTATTTCAGTGGTTCTTGCTTAAAAAAATACATAAAATACTTGTGTGTGTTTGTATATATATATATATAAATCTACCAGATGAACTTTCTCATCAAAATGCTCAGGGCCTGGTTCACTGTAGTCTCTGTGACAAAGATTACTGTGCATCTAGACATTTGGAAGCATCCAGGTCTGTCTGTACCCTGTAAAGTCCAGGATCAGTAGGCATTAATCTCAGTTGCAGCCCCTAGGGGATGCTGTAACACAAACCCACAGAGAACGTGACCTGGATTTTCAAACATTGCTTCTAATTTTGGGTGACTGGCTTTAGCCACCCTGGCTCAGTTTGAAAGATTTCATAAGTTCTGTTGACTTTAATTACATGTGCTGTACACACAGCCCTGCAAAGTGCCCTTGTTGTCAAACTTGCTACAGAACAATCAAAGCATAATAAAATCGAATGAGTAGCTTTGAGGAGACTTTCAATTAGTTAAATTATAGCTCTGGTCTTTGTAGAGCAAGGGCAAGAGACTTCTATTTCAGTTTCCACCATATACGGACTACCAATTTGTTGTCTGGGTACCTTCCCCGTTTGAAGGGAGCACTGATTTCTCCAGAGGACTTTTGGGATGAAGCTCTGGGCAGGGTTCTTCTGGCTTTCCTGCTATTCCCACTGCCCTTTGTGTAGGGCATTGGGGTGGGACAGGGTGACTGCTGTTTGAAAGGGTGGTTTGGTTTTTGCTCCCAGGAACTCAGCTGGACCAGGGCACAATCTCCAGTGCTTCAGTTTCTGGCTGTAGCCATGAAGTTGTGAGTTTTATCTGCTTGCTCAGATGAGCCTGTCCCTCATCCCTGACAATCTCTTAGGGACAGGGAAGCCACTGTGTGTAGAGTGTTATTGCCTCATATCTTTGTGTGGGTCAGAGTTTTGGATGGTTCAGAGTATATATCAGCAAGCATTCAGAACTTCATGCCATCTGCAAAGAATTCCCATTTTTCCATTAAGAGCCACTAAGTGTTTTTTCTAAAGATTTG